GACAGTACGAAAACGACATAGCATCGAAAGTCAAGTCTGACCCGAAACTGCTGTATAGCCACATTATTAGGAGGAAGACAACAGTCAAAGACCAGGTGATAAGGCTGAGGAAAGAAGGTGGAGAACTCAAACGAAACGATCAAGAGGTATGTGAGGAGCTCAACATGAGATTTAAGGAAGTATTTACAGTGGAGACAGGAAGGCCTCTCGGGGGACAGACCAGATGGGGACACCAGCAAGGAATATACCAACAAGTGTTGGATGACATACACACAGATGAGGAGGAGGTGAAGAAACTGCTAAGGGACATCCATACCTCAAAGGCAATGGGACCGGACAACATCTCCCCGTGGGTCCTTAGAGAGGGAGCGGATATGTTGTGTGTGCCACTTACCACAATCTTCAACACGTCCCTGGAAACTGGGCAACTACCTGAGGTATGGAAGACGGCAAATGTAGTTCCCATTTTTAAAAAAGGAGACAGAAAAGAGGTACTAAACTATAGACCTGTGTCACTGACGTATATAGTATGCAAAGTTATGGAGAAGATTATCAGGAGGAGAGTGGTGGAGCACCTGGAACGGAACAAGAGTATAAACGCCAACCAGCATGGATTCATGGAAGGAAAATCCTGTGTCACAAACCTTCTGGAGTTTTATGATAAAGAAACAGAAGACACGAGAGAGAGGGGTGGGTTGATTGCATCTTCTTGGACTGCAAGAAGGCCTTTGACACAGTTCCTCACAAGAGATTAATGCAGAAGCTAGAGGATCAGGCTCATATAACAGGAAGGGCACTGCAATGGATCAGAGAATACCTGACAGGGAGGCAACAACGAGTCATGGTACGTAATGATGTATCACAATGGGCACCTGTGACGAGCGGGGTCCCACAGGGGTCGGACCTATCGCCAGTGCTATTTTTGGTATATGTGAACGACATGATGGAAGGGTTAGACTCATAAGTGTCCCTGTTCGCAGACGATGTGAAGTTAATGAGGAGAATTAAATCAGATGAGGACCGGGCAGGACTTCAAAGAGACCTGGACAGACTGGACACCTGGACCAGCAACTGGCTTCTCGAATTTAATCCCGCCAAATGCAAAGTCATGAAGATAGGGGAAGGGCAAAGAAGACCGCAGACAGAGTATAGGCTAGGTGGCCAAAGACTGCAAACCTCGCTCAAGGAGAAAGATCTTGGAGTGAATATAACACCGAGCGTGTCTCCGGAAGCACACATCAGCCAGGTAACTGCTGCAGCATATGGGCGCCTGGCAAACCTGAGAACAGCGTTCCGATATCTTAATAAGGAATCATTCAAGACTCTGTACACCGTGTACGTCAGGCCCATACTGGAGTATGCAGCACCTGTTTGGAACCCGCAATTGATAAAGCAAGTCAAGAAACTAGAGAAAGTGCAAAGGTTTCCGACAAGGTTAGTTCCAGAGCTAAGGGGAATGTCTTATGAAGAAAGGTTAAGGGAAATCGGCCTGACGACACTAGAGGACAGGAGGGTTAGGGGAGACATGATAACGACATATAAAATACTGCTCGGAATAGATAAGGTGGACAAAGACAGGATGTTCCAGGGAGGGGACACAGAAACAAGAGGCCACAATTGGAAGTTGAAGACACAGATGAGTCAGAGAGATATTAGGAAGTATTTCTTCAGTCATAGAGTTGTTAGGCAGTGGAATAGCCTAGAAAGTGATGTAGTGGAGGCAGGAACCATACATAGTTTTAAGACGAGGCATGATAAAGCTCATGGAGCGGGGAGAGAGAGGACCCAGTAGCAACCGGTGAAGAGGCGGGGCCAGGAGCTAGGACTCGACCCCTGCAACCACAAATAGGTGAGTACAAATAGGTGAGTACTTGTTACTGTACACAAACACTGTGTACGGTAACAAGTGACAGATGCCAATCGCAAGAGTTGGATCTCGAGTTATGAACGAAATAAAATCGAAAAGTTTGAGTAAGAAAAAAAATATGGCAACCACTTTAATATCCCCCTTCGGGAATACCTAAATGTAGACAAAACACAGGCGTAGCGTTCTTTACTTACTGTTTATGGTAGAAAACGAATAATAAGGCAATTGGTGTGACTCGGTGGATATATAGATGAAGTAAGAATTGTCCTCAGTCAAGTTATCGTACTCGAAGCTGGTGTCATATTCTTCCCACGAGAAGTATAGATTGTCTACATACATCTCTATTATATACTTAGTTTGATTGGTGCAACAGTGATTTGGGTCCCAGCTGACGTACAACGTCGAGCACACTGCCTCCAACGTTACGTTCGTCGCTGTCTCTGGGAGCCACACAAGAAACATTCCTTTAGTCGTGAATGATTCACTGGAAATCTTAGATTATTTTTTAATGCAATGTGGCAATATTTAATGCCGTTTAAGACGAATCGTCCAGTTACGGCTACACGGCATGGGTGCACTTTGCCGAATAAACAGAATGAAAATTTGGTTTTGCTATAAATCAGCGAAACTCGA